CTGGGAACAGCAACAGTTACACCTCTTATCAAGCATGAGCAGATTTCTGATAATGTTAATGAAAGGATGCATTAATAGTCCTCAGATTATACAGTATACTGTATGCATGTACTATACTGTATGTATAGTCTATATACTGTAAACCTCAGTCAGGAGTTTAGAACATTCAACATCAACAAAAAACTGAAAAGTGAAAAGTAATTTTCCTCTAATCTTCATCAGGACATCTTATTGTAGTGATTAAAATTGAATTCAAAATATTCTAAATTTATTGGTGCATGAAAGACACCGTAGAGCCCCTTATTTCTAAGAATCAGAACACTTAAATAACACTATGTATGGTAATGAAAAAGCTGTCAATAGCTCCCCTTAAAATTGGCTGATTTACTAAAACTTTTATGAAGACAGTAAATTTCATGTCTTATTTCTTGATCCTAAGATGTAGGACAAAAAGAAATCAATACCCCTCCAACCTGAGCCTGAATTTTGTCAACCTCCAATTATTATCTTGCTTGTGGGAAAGATCAAGGAGTAATTGAGGCTCCTGGTCCTGATGTCACAGAATGGACAGACAATTTCAATTGTGAAGCGATATAATTCCAGATATAATGCATTTAACCTGGTTGAAAATAATAGACAGTCTGGGTCTAGATGTTGCAATTCTTGCTTTATTTTGCTGGTATACTGTATATCTAATTCTTTACATACCGTATGCCACTGAAAATAAACTGACCTGTGGAATAACACCTTACTGTATGGTATATTAAATCTACATACAGTAACTTCTTCTATGAACTGATTCTTAGTTTTCAATGTAATCTGACATTTTGTACAGTACGTGTCAGTTTTAATTAAAACTCTACTACTCAATGTATTATTTTATACATACTGTACCTATATGCATATCCTAAATAAAATTAATGGTATTCAACACGCAGGTCAATTAATCAGTAATTACCTAAGCTTCCGTAACACCATTTCTTCAGTTTTATAATTGCCTGTTAAATGGAGTTCATGCTGTTTTCAACATTAAAAATGATTAAGAAAATATTTAAAATTTTCTATTTAATTTCAATCCCTTTCCCAGATCAAAGGCAGCATTGTCAAAATTACAAAACTTGGAATTATCAAACATGTTTGTGTCCTCTGGTCCATGCATCAATAAGAGGCTGTTTTCTGTTTTCATACTGTATCTGCATAAGCATTAAGCTTCAATCTGCCTCAATTCACATGGACTTCACATAAGTTACGTTTGAAATTAACCTGTGTTTTTTTTTTCCATTGAATGACTAAACTGTGAAAAAGAAAATTCTTGACTGTTGTAAGAATTTTAGAATTTTGTAACAGCAGTTAATAGCAATAACGCAAGTTGACAACATTATATTTTCCAAAACGCTTCCTCTGAACTGTGTGGGTGCATTATATAAAATAAACAGTGATTTAACAATCTAAATACATTAAATTCTTTGAAAGTCAACATTAGTTTAAGCTGTTTTCAGAGTGGAGACACAATCAAAACTATTCTGCATGTTTGAAGTATACAATATACTTCAGGACAATATATCCTAGTCAGGTGAAGAAATTGTATTCTTTACTCAAAGAGGTATTTGCAATTCATATTGCAAAAGACTGAAATGTTGTCTGCCAAACTTTAAAGTAATCAAAAAGGGGCAAGACGTGTTTTTAGCCTACATGCAGATAAATAAACCATCACACAGATTTCCACTTTATATTTTGGACAAAGTGAAGAAATACAGCAGCACTGGTTACATTGTTAAATTACTAGCTTGTTACTAACTACATGACTACAAGATTAATAAGATGGATGGTGTACTAGAGCAGTGTGGATAAAAAGAAAATGTCAATATTAATGTTATGCTCTTACCAAAATAAATGTAATTGGTGATAGTACCCTGATTCAAATGTCCAATAAAATATTCAACATTTTTTAAAATAGCTAAAATGTATTTTTTATTTTCAATAAAGGTAAAAGAATTTGGGGTTTACATTAAAAGGATTTTCAATGTGCTTTCAAAGTCAGACTCACATCAAATCAAAATGTTTTCTAACCTACTAATCACGTGTCAAATGAGAAACACAAACATCAAACGTTCATTTTCTCAGGGATTTCATGCGTTTGCCTGGGAGTGTTCAATTAGGATTTTTCATAGAACCTTATTAATTTCCTGGTTGATACATGACAACAAAAAAGTAAATAATAAAATAATTTTACAATCAAAAACCAAAGTCTCTTCAAAATGGATTTTGAGCATTGAGTGCAATCTAACTTTACATGTATAAATATTGTTGCATGGCCTTGTTTATTAAAAAGATTCTGACAGTCTGTCAGGGAGAACTTTCTTTGACCCTTGACCATTTCTGTATCCAGTCAAAAATGAATAATTGCCACTCAACCAAGTTCCACACATCAGTGGTGCCATAAATCTGACCCTGCCCATCAATCAAAACAGCTTTCACTGAAGCTCCAACCCTCCCCTTTGTTGTCACTGGACGAGTTTACAGAATGGGTAATGTTTTTATATTTTACTTGACAAACAAAACTGCTGGTATTACTCAGTGTTTGTGATATAATTTCTGGATGGGATGCATATTTACTGAAGTGTTAAGTGTTAAATACAAAACTAACAGTATGTTATAGTGTTCATGTTTTCCAATTTCAAATTCCTAGTATAGTATGGTGCAGTATATGGTATATAGTATATAGTATATATTATATAGTATATAGTATATAGTATATAGTAAAACAAAGTAACATAAAATGATTGCCACAATTGTCTCCTTCAATTGAATGCTCCTCCTTGAAAAGTTTACTGCTGATTGAAGAAAATCCTCTCCTGTTTCCAATGGGACTATTGTAAAGGACATTCAAGTATACTGGACTGTATGTATTTTTAATTTGAAGTGCTTTGTTCTTGAAACACAGGCTTGTAGAGTATATTAATATCAAATTCAGACTTTAAAGTAATTACATATGATTTAAAAATTGATGTTCTGCTGCTCTCTAGCTTTTTTGATTGCAAAAAGGTAAGTCTCTAAGAAGGGCTGATAGTTTTGTCACCTGATTGTCCTGCATCTCATTTTTAACAGTAATGAAAAATCTGCTATCCTTTTATATTGATATTTGAGTGGCTGTAGCATAAAGCCCAATAATCTTTCTTGACTGAAGGTTAAGTGATGGAATTCATTTGGATGCCCCAGAAGTAATCATCCACAAAGAATACATTATTTCTTTTTTATGAATTTTCAAAGCTTATACTGACGAGTGGCATGCAATTAAAACTGATCAATATGTAATTTAGGTTAGCTGACTTTTTTAGCTCTCTAAATATAGTCTTTTTTTCAATACACAAGGAATTAAGCATCATGTGCTGATTTCCTCCCAAGCCGTTTTATACACTTAAAAAGTCACTCTAGATGCAATTCAATTCTTTTACTTTATAACAGCAGTTTTAATATGTCTGCTTTTCACTTTTTTGTCAAATGCTGATGAGTTTGAAACACATTTCCTATCTACTTCGTATGAGTTTATAGATGGGTCTGTACAACTGGTTGAGGAAAGAAGGAACCTCAGCTAATTTAAACAGCTGTGTCCAAACCAAAGAGAGCTCTGTTCGTGAGTGGTGGAAGACAAATACTTGTTTAAGTTTAAGTTAAAGTTTCTTTTTTAACTACTTGTAAAAATTAGGAACCCTGTACATGAATATCTTAGCATGTGAGGCACATTAACCAAATAAGTTATTCTGTCCTGCATTCTGTCCTAAGATATAGACTCACATTATTTTAGATCAATTTCTGTTTAACTGACAATATCGTTGATGTAATACTAAAGCAGCATAATACAGATATTCTTATATTTAATGATAAAAGAAGCAACATTCCCTGATTGCTAGTGCACAAATTAACAATCACCACCTGCATTAAATTTAGAAACATAAATTGGTGACAAATGCAGTAAAACTGCAAAGTCAATATAAAGACAAGCAACTCAATTAGAAAGTTCATTTTTTAATTAAAAAAATCACTGAGCTCTGTGCATTCATTAGGAGTTCATGTTCAGTCCTTTGTCTGGAGTTTAATTCAGGTGTTTGTTTCCCAAAATGAAGCATAAAACACATTTTAGCTACTCTGGATAATTATGATGTTTTTGTTTATGTGCAAGATTAGCAATACTGAAGGTGGTTATCTATACAGAATGTACTGATGTCTCTATTCTACACATCATGTGCAGTTTTCATCCTCATGCTGTGGGGTTTCTGCCTGCTGCAGCTTCACAGGATGATCTTCTGCAGGAGAGCCTTCAAGCTCTTATCCAAAATCACTCGTATTTTTCATTCCTTGCACATGACTTTTTGCGATGGGGCCATTTCAAATTTTTAATCCTACAATAATGTGAGGTGTCGTGGGCTTTCATGGGAACAATACAAAAGAAAGAAAAAAAAGCCAGTGTAATATTTTCTACCCCGTAATGACCAAAGCATAAGAGCAGTGTGGCAGATGAGATGACTTGTCTTGTTTTCTTCCACTAGCCACAGTCATTTAAGGTAGATTGTATTTCCCCAGTAGCACAATTGAGTCAAAGAATCTGAAATGTCTCTGTCACAGGTTTGGAGAGCTCTCGAAGAGTAACACTGACCCTGTGGACATGATATGAAGCTAAAGCTTCTGGACCCTGTAATACAATTTTCCTTCATCCCCAATGAACTGCTTTAGTAAGTTCTTGTTCGAGAAAATGAAAAAAGAAACCAGCTTATCTCAGCCCAGTTTATTTAGGTAAGAATCATGACATAACCAGGCAATCTGTCTGGAGGAAAGAACAGGTATTCCTATTTCCAAGTGAATCCATTTCACAGCGCAATGCATCTTTATCTCAGGTAAATATGCAGTACTATCCAAAGGTTGTTCTTGTACACGAACAATGCTTGAGTGGACCTAGCTTGGTTTCTTGCCTATGAAACCATCCTCTTAGTATTTTTGAGCCT